TCATTTCACTTCCAAGTGCCTGCGTTCGCTTCCCTTTATCGGGGCTACACAGCCTACACCCTAGCAGTTATAGCAGAGCAGGTAGAGCAATTATTAGCTCTAGTACTATAGCCCGCTTACATTAACTGACTGCCGATGGCATTGGCTGCTGGCAGTTCCCTATGTGGGGCCAAGTGTCGCATGACTGATTTCGTTACGAAATCAATGATTTTGTAACGAAATCAAGTCTACAAAGTGATTTCGTTATGAAACCAACTACTGCGAGTCATTTCGTGACGAAATCAGCTACTGCGAGTCATTTCGTTACGAAATCAGCTACTGCGAGTTATTTCGTTACGAAATCATGCGACACTTGGCGCGCCGGCGCGCCAAGTGTCGCATGACTTGATTTCGTTACAAAATTATTGATTTCGTTACAAAATTATTGATTTCGTAACGAAATCAAGTCTACAAAGTGATTTCGTTACGAAATCAGCTATACTGCGAGTCATTTCGTTACGAAATCAGCTACTGCGAGTCATTTCGTTACGAAATCAGCTACTGCGAGTTATTTCGTTACGAAATCAAGTCTACAATATTTCGTTACGAAATCAACTACTGCGAGTGATTTCGTTACGAAATCAGCTACTGCGAGTCATTTCGTTACGAAATCAGCTACTGCGAGTTATTTCGTTACGAAATCAAGTCTACAAAGTGATTTCGTTACGAAATCAACTACTGCGAGTGATTTCGTTACGAAATCAGCTACTGCGAGTCATTTCGTTACGAAATCAGCTACTGCGAGTCATTTCGTTACGAAATCAGCTACTGCGAGTTATTTCGTTATGAAATCATGCGACACTTGGCGCGCCCAATCACACCCGAGCTACGCTCATCACGATCGCCCCGTCCTCAAAAAATGTGCCCGAGCGTGGTGAGCGTGTTGAGAGCGTGGCCAATAGGCCCCAGCCGGGCCCAGCGCCGATACTACGATCTAATTACGTCCATACTACGATCTAAGTGCGTCTTTACCCCGATCTCATTGCGCTCAACAAGCTTTCACCACGCTCAACACCACGCCCGCATCACGCTTGCACTGCGCTCACTGCGTCTTTATTGCGACCAATCAGATCGTGTTGCGTTCGAACGACGCTTGCACTGCGCCCTTAGCAACGCTCACCGCGCCTCAACTGCGCGCCAATCACGCGCCGACTGCGCTGGCACAATCATATATAAATACCGCGCCGCGTTCTATACATCATCATTCATTCTGGCCGTGCTGTCAAGATTAACATCAAGATGATTAAGATCAACATTATCAACTTAAATCAAGATTAACATCCAGAGAGACCGGATACAAGATGGCCTTGCGCAGAAGATGCGTTGTTCCCGACCGCCGAAAGCGGTTAAGCCGCCGCACTTCGCGGGACTGGGCGCACGCGACCGCGGATGTATATAGCTATAGCTCTCCGCTGTACGCATTCGCGCGCCGAAAGGAAGGCGCGGCGCGCGAATGCGTATAGCGGGCAGCCTAACATCGCGCGATTTTCGGGACACGTACATCGGCTCGGCTACATCGGCTTTGGAGGGGGGCTTTCCGATTATGGATTGACACGCGTTTGTACATCGTCGCCGTCGTACCGTCACCTGCCGTATTTTCGTACCTTATCTGGCGTTCTCCCACTCTCTTTCTCTCTTCTCGCACTCCCACAGTCTGTCTCTCTCTCTCTCTCGCTCTCGCTCGCTCTGCCCACGGGTTAATAAGGATTAATAAGGGTCTTCGCTCGCGCGGCTCTCTCGCCGGCGCGTGTACGTGACGGCGCAACTCTCCGACCTTGGTAGTTTTCCATAGACTGAAGGCACAGGCACTTGAAGCGTTTCAATAGAATATAATGCTAACTAAATACACTCGCTGTATTTCATACGATTTAAACAGAAATACTCATCCAACAGTCGGTAAATGTATTTACTTAGTACAAAATTCTTAATGTTTCTATACTATAGCCGTATAGGCTAGCCGGCTACTCTGTTTCACCTACGGATATTGAAAAAGTTTTGGCGCAACGTTAAATGCAGAAAGGTTTTGCGCAGTTATTCTAACATTCGTAGACCTTCAGAGCCGCCCCCACTGATTCTGCTGTAGGAGCACATACCGGCTGACGCCACGGCGCGGCGGTTCTTTTTGCCAGAGAACGTCTAGTGGCAATTCTTGAGTCTAAACAAACATCAATCAACGGGCTTAGCCAATGAACGTCAGGGAAACCAAACATGGCTACGATAATGAAAAGCCACGTCACGATTCCAGTTAGACTGTACGGACGTTCATGCGGCCAAGTCTCTTTCGCTACACCTAAACTTATAGTTAGTGCAGCGTGTCGAACTCTCCACGCGCGGGCAGTCTAAGCCTATTCGCCGTTCCTTGTCTGGAAAATCCTCGAAGAGAGCCTCGTCGCACCATCTATGGCCAGTGTTGTAGGTCTCGAGACCGGTCTTGGTCTCGAGACCGGTCTCGAGACCGTTTTCCTTGGTCTCGGTCTCGGTCTCGGCCTCGGAGTGCAATGACTCGGACTCGGACTCGGACTCGAGCCCTCCGACTCGAGGACTCGGGTCGAGACCGGCTCGAGGCCACTACATACATAGTAGTCATAGATGCTGTTTGTCGCGCTTTAAATCGCGCGTGGGCCGAGTTCACGCGCATCATTCCTATTCAACCACGGGCATAATAATGTACACAGGCGCGCCGGTTAATCAATCGTCTACTGCGGCTGGCAGCAAGTGAATTATAAGGCAGAAAGGTGTAAAATGATGTCATGAACCTATGTGCGAGTACTAGTAGGTACTACTATATGACCTCTACACATCGCAGAGGTAGTAGCGTACTAGTAGTAGGTAGCTAAGGTACGTAGCACCCTTCTCATTTGTTCAACAAAGCCGTTGTCAATTCTCAGTAAAACACAAATGGATGCCGTTACTTTGACACGTTTTACGTATGACTCGTGGTCTCTCGTGTTTTCGGCTGACATACATCTTCGAGATGTCTGACGATGCACGCGTTGCGCTTTTTTCCAGATCAATCTCAAAAGCAAGTGGATGATGGCCACTAATCTACATTCTACATACAATAGAAATGTTCGTAGCGTAAACAATGCAATAATGCACAATTTTATTTTATTTTATTTTATTTTCCAACACGGTTATTATTCCTAAGTCGACACAATATGCTGGTCCAAAAAGTGTCGAACTTAATGCAAGTTTTATGCCGTAGCTTCGTTCTATTTTATGCAAACAAGTGACAGATCAGGGCGACAGGGCAAACACCCCCCCCCCATTTTTGAACAAATACATAACATTTAGAAGTGATGGCCTTGTCGGTCTGTGCCCCCTTTTGTTTTATCGAAAAACTGCGACTCGGGACCGGACCGGACTTCGGACTCGGACTCTGGCCGTGGTGGTGGACTCGGCACCGCGTGGCGCGGACTCGGACTCGACCTACGACTCGAGACTCGGACATCGCGGGGCGTGCGGGCTCGACTCGCGTCTACGGACTCGGGGGTGCGGACTCGACCTAGCATATCACTGTCTATGGCACGGCATATGTACTCGAGCAATAAGTCAGGGCGTTAATATAGCAAGAAAATTGGAAAATCGTTTTCTAGAGGAAAACGGTAAAGGCGCCGACCAAAACAATTAGCAATTACGACCATGGGATTTTTCTCGCCCCTACTGTGGCAGAGTCGAACAGGCCTTCGCAATCGCGCAGAAGCTGCTCAATTGGACGCGATTATCCGGCTTTCTGAGTCCCAGAGGGCTGTTCGAGTAGCGTTAGTTCTTACATACAGGGCAGCGATTGGATGAAAAGCACCGGAGGCCGTGAAACTGTTCGCGCTTCGCGCATATATCCGGGGCTGCAAGATCGTCCAGATGAGACGCGGATACTAGGAGAAGCTTGTTGCCGAAAGGAGGTGTTTATCGAAGCGCTGCGGCGATCTGCGCCGCAGTTCCGGGCAAGGCGCACGCATAGACGCGCGGAAAATTCTACGACCAGTCAATGCCAGGCGCTGGCAAGCTATGATCCGTTGCGCGCCGAATGCATCAGGCCGCGCACGAATCCATAGCTGCTCAGCGAACAGTCCGCAATTTTAGTCGGGGGACACAGAGGGCAGACACTTTGGCAACGGAACAGTGTTTCACACGTGTTATAAAAACTGTAACCGAGTAATGTTTCGTAACGAGCTGCTGTCACGCAAAATCACAGGAAAGACTGTTAGAAATTGCTGAATTCGCTGAACCTTGCCCAGTAATGGAAATGCTGGTCAGAATCAGGAGAACACCTACCGGCGCTCTCGTGCACCTCATTGTTTTGCGCCCAACGCTGGAACGTTTTTGCAACGTTCGGAATGGCGCAGGCTCGTACAGGGAGTCGCAAAAGGCCAGTTGCGCCGCGCTGCCCGCCGCCTATAGCCCATAGGACTGGCACTCGCCTCCACCTCTCGCGCTTACAAAAACACATTTTTTGATAAAATACCTAAAGGAAGTAATAATATGGTAAAAACCTATTGTTTATTTTTTTACTGAAAAATTATAGTTTTAGGTTTACACAACGGTTTACATAAGAAATAGATGACTGGCCACGTAGCCATGCACGGCCTATAAAATTTGGCCCAGTGGGGGGTCAGGGCCGAAGCCCCCTCCCCCAAAAGCTATGGGTTCTGTGCATTTGGGGACATTTCCTGATGAGATCATTATATGATTTTTCTGAATTTATCTCAAGACACCCATGGTCTTTTACAGTTCCAGGCCATTTATTCACGGTATTTTCCGACTAGGCGACAGCTTGTCCACGGAAAAAGAGGGAGTGGATATACTAATACCCTGTAAGTGGAAAGAAAATACATGGACCCGCACATAGGAAAGAGGCGATCTTACGTCGTTGAACTCGTACGACGTGTTTCTGAATCACTATGTCTTTTTTGAACACATTTCAGAGCCATTAGGAAGAAGGAAAACGATGAAAGCTCATCTTAATGGAACAATTATTTATTTGGAAATGTGATACTTCATTATCACCGGACGTGTGACTCCATACATGATCTAGTCTACATTGTCATGATGACTGCATAATTTTAACAAACTATACAACTTATCAAGAGCTAATAATACCTAGGTATTATTAGCTCTTGAACTTATCATTACACTTTTTCGTTCATTTTCTAAACGGACTACTCAACAACAGCAATGTTAGACAAAACAGACGGTAATAACGAATGCACTGTTTCGGACAGAATCCTAACGATGAATAACTGAAAATGACCCAATGATAGATAGCAGTACAACCATGCTACGCAGGCGCAGTATACAGTAACGGTCAGACCCTGTAGCAGCGACCTGCCACTTCCCCTTAAGCTGGGTTTACACTGGCAACTTTGTGTTGGCGAATCGCCGAATTGTACCAACTTCGCAATTTTGCAACTGAAAATCGGCAGTGTAAACGCAAAAGTTGCACGTCCAACCGATCGATAGCAGCTGGACGGGACTTGGGTGATTAGACAATGTTCTAATTCGGCAAGCCGCCAACTCAAAGTTGGCAGTGTAAACCCAGCTTTACAACGACGACTACGACAATGCAACACTCACTCACTCACTCACTCACTCACTCGGCCACAGTTCCGATACGTAATCAATGTTGTAACCACGAACATGACTTTGCAGCTGAATCGCGCAGGTACATCGATCGGCTAAGGAAGCCCAGCAATAAATGATTACCAGTTGGTCCTCACGAGCACACACTCGTTTGATTATCTCACCCCACCGCATATCGCAGTGGAAAATCTACCGTGCCATCTTTCATAAACACGATACAACCCCAGTAGTGTCCCCCAGACCAGTGGTAGGCAAATCACTAGATGGTCTACTAAACCCAGGTCTGCATTAACGTTCATAACCTTTAAAAAAGCAATTTAAAAAAATGACCTAATACTTCTCTGGTGACTTTACGAAGCTACAGTGCATGTTTATTCTTGCATTCGTACTTCGTATAGGTGACACGGAGCAAAGTTGGATTTCTCTGCCTACCAGCTCCTGAAACGTCACTCGATTTCACGTACACGTAGCCTATGAAATATGCACGGCTTCTTCATCACGTATTCCTCGACTTTGCCCGATAGCCAACACTGTACCTGGCTAGAAACGTAACAACCCTCTCTCTAAATCACAGGCTATGTTTACTTGATCGGTAATGTTCTCATTTTCTTCACATCATACCTCCCATCCCGCCCATGCCTCCCATCCCACCCATGCCACCCATGCCGCCCATTCCTGCGCCACCAGCTGGCTCTTCTTTGGGTATATCTATGACCACACACTCGGCCGTTGTAAGGAGGGACGCCACACCTGCAGCATCCAGCAACGCAGTGCGAACCACCTGTATGCGAACAAACAACAAGGTGTCAAACAAATCCAGAACACATTGCCACAGACGATGGAACTTCAAAACGTGGCTGAGCAATTCTATAACGAATATATATCCAGTGCGTCCGGAGAGGTCAATGTTCACAAGCATGTCATTATTCATAGATAAGACATTACAAATAGTCAAATTACACAGAGTAATTACATTTACAATGCCCCCTCCACAAAATGCCAAATTCCACTAATCTATCTAATTATATATGATAGCAACAGACAAGTGAAGACGGCAATAACAGTTTTTTAATTCAGGTACCATATGCTCGGCATGTTACGCACCTTTGTTGGGTCTACAATACCACCAGCGATCATGTCAACAAACTCTCCGCGCAGAGCGTCGTAGCCTGTGGTGCCTCCAGACTCTATCACTTTTTGCACGATGAGGGATGCATCGACACCAGCGTTCGATGCGATGGTGTGGCAGGGCACTTTCAGCGCCTTCTTAACAATCTCCACTCCTACAGTAAGAACGAAATTCGATGTACAGACAGCAAATTATATTTGATTGTCCTCAAGCACTTGTGACACTAAAATAAGAAACAGCCAACAGACTAAATACAATATAACTAAAATTAAAAGTGCACGTACCGATCTTTTGGTCGTCGTTTGTGCAGGCAACGTTGTCTAGTGCGGGCAGGCAGCGCAAGAGGGCAACACCTCCACCGGGGACTATGCCTTCCTCTACAGCAGCCTTCGTCGCATTCAGTGCATCGTTGTACCTATCCTTCTTCTCGTTCACCTCCACCTCACTCGATCCTCCAATCTGCATTTCAGGAAGGAAATAGATTACGTTATTGCTCTTTTAATTGTGAGAGATCTGGTCATTACTAATTATTTTTAATCATACAAGTGTTTTAAATGGAAAGGACACGCAAAGGTTTCACGCGAGCATGCTATTACCTTAACGACAGCAACACCAGCGCTCAGCTTAGCCAGTCGCTCATTCAGCTTCTCTTTCTCATAGTCAGATGTGGTCAGCTCCATTTCATCATTAATCTGTTGAATTCTGCGATCTAAATCCTCCTTCTTGCCCTTTCCCTACATTACAGGCAACACATCAAAAACCAGTCACAGCATACTTAGAATCTATATCATAACATTATTTTCAATACTGACTTATCAAACAACCAGTTGGTTTTTGGAAATCACGAAGGGGTTTTGCTCTTTTAAATGTAATTATTTTCCCTATATAGTGAATTCATGCAAAATAACGCAAAAATGTAATAAAATGGATAAAAATGTGCACTACAATTTATCACAATTTCACTCTTTGGTTTTCAGTAACCCAGCAACCTTGAGCAGAAACCACTAGTTACTCACCCTCAACAGCAGTGTGTCGTCCTTTGTGACATTAACCTCCTCAACGTTTCCAAGGTCATGCACCTGCACATCCTCAATCTTTACCAGGTTGGCTTCATCTCCAAACACCTATTTATAAGATATACGGTCTCAACAATTTCATATCATTAAAAAAAAAATAATTAATGAAACAAATAGCAATATGCACGTGCCAATTTATCAGCTTACAAATACAAACTCCTAGTTTCCTAAATTAGTGGTAGTGTGCAATAGCATTCATGGGAATAGTGATTTGACATCTTTACTATAGATTGAGCAACATTTAGGACATAGGTTGTTGTTACAACACAAGCATATTATTACCAAGCCTCCAGTCGCAATGGCTATGTCGTGAAGTGTGTTCTTGCGGTTGTCTCCAAATCCAGGAGCCTTCACAGCACACACCTGCAGACCGACCTTCAACCTGTATGTAAGAACAGTAGCATAATTATTAGAGGAAGACATGGTTAACCATTCACAATAAAACCAAATGGTGATAAATAGGGTTAATATAGTACACACAGTCATTCATTATCAACATATGCAGGGGCTTCGTGCATCTGTTTAGAACTAGAATGCTCAGAAATTTACATGTACCCACCTGTTTAGAACCAGTGTGCTCAGTGCTTCGCCCTCAATATCTTCAGCAATGATTAGCAATGGCTTCCTACTGCTATTTGCCAACTCGAGAACAGGAACGATAGACTGAATGGTGGAGATCTTCTTCTCGCTAAGCAACACCAGTGCATCTTGGAATTCGCACTTTGCACCTACAATCAAAAACAAAATTTAAAAAAAATATATTAATATTATATACAAAAATAATAACATAATAAAAAATAAAAAATAATATGAACAGTTTATTACAGTATATAAATGTGTTTATTTAATGCCATCTCCAAGCAACTTGTAACATTATACCTACCCTTGGCAGTGTTCATGAAGTATGGAGAAATGTAGCCTCTGTCAAATTTCATTCCCTCAATCACTTCCAACTCGTCATACAGCTTCTTTCCATCCTATTTGATTGAAGAACAATATAGAAATGTTTTAGAGAAATGCCCAGAAACTACCACAGCCAACTTTTATGTCTCATTAATAAATCCACTATTCCCGACAAGTAATGTCACACACGCACGCACGCACACACACACACACCAATCAGTACAGTCACCAAACCAAGCAGTAAGGCCACCCTTAAAGTGTATGTATATTGTATATTCTGTTTTGTGTATGTTTTTGCGGAACAAATTTGATTTTTTTTTTGGCGAAATGAAATAATTTTTGTTTTGTTTTAATCAGCCAATAAAATGTGTCGAGTAGCGGCGTAGCGAGTCGGTGGCGAGTCGGTCGGTAAAGGGGAAACAAGCAATATTTTATCTTAGGCCCAAGATTTTTCAAGCTATTGGGATGGCCAACAACAACACTCCACAAAACCAACATTTGCCCTCATTAACAAATATCAATGTGAACATGAACCTGAAGTTTTTTCTTAGTGCATAACTAGAAGTGGTTTAGATGTCTGCTGCAAACGTGTGGACAAATGAAGTCATTGCTGCGATTCAAATTCCTCAATTTCCCCTTCAACAAGAACTACAGAATTTTAGGTGAAGATGTCTTCGTAGACTGCCTCCATACAAAATGCATACTCCGTGCCAAAAATGAACATTACACACAAATCAGGATTATATCGACGGCTCTATTACAGGCGCACACGTGCAGAAATCTTGTGAAGCCTCACCAGTGAGTATCGACACACGCACACACCTTTACGGTAATGACTCCGTTCCTTCCAACTTTCTTCATGGCATCGGAGATGAGTTCACCGATCGACACATCTCCGTTAGCAGAGATGGTGGCCACCTGCGAAATCTCCTCGGGGGTTGTCACAGGCTTGGACATGCTCTTCAATGACTTCACGACTTCATCAACAGCCAGCATGACGCCTGCAGCACAATACATACAGAATACATTCCACAAATGATATGCTGATCTACACAGCTCTGCATAGCATATACGTATAACACATGTATCAGGGTTCTTACGATGCCTCTCTGCTCTTTAGATCTTGTTTTTCATATTCATCAGAATGACCATTCATTAAATATCAATTGAAAAAGTTATTCGAATTTCAGCATAAATGTCCCTTTCGATATTCGAGGGGGAGAACATCATTTATGATTTATATTTAGTTTCAGCTTTTGTGAGCAATGAGTGATGGAAACAAAATCCATCTAACATTTCTCACCTTTTCTAATTTCAATTGGATTGGCTCCCTTGCTGATCTTTTCAAATCCCTCCTTGGCAATGGATCTCGCAAGCACCGTCGCTGCAGTCGTACCATCACCTGCTTCCTCATTGGTATTATTTGCTACATCCTGTACCAGTTTTGCCCCAATATTTTGGTATTTGTCTTTTAGTTCAATTGCCTTTGCCACTGTAACTCCATCCTTGGTGATTTTTGGACTTCCCCAGCTTTGTTCAATAATTACATTACGCCCCTGAAACATACATTGCAATCACTTGGTCACATTCCTTCTTACGAAACTGCAATCGCACTGCATAAAATGTGGGGCGACTTTAGATATAGTTTGTCAAATACTTGAAACTCATACCAACATTGGCCAGAGGGTGTATGGAAGATCAATGTTGGATGTATACTATTAGTATTAGTAGAACCAATACAGGACACATTACATATAAATTAGGAGAGTACAATTGTGACAGTACCTTGGGTCCCATGGTAACAGCAACAGCATCTGATAGCAGATCTACTCCCTGCAGCATTATTGCTCGAGCTTCAACACCAAACTTGAGGTCTTTGGCATATGATCGTATCAGATGTGGTGCCACACGCCTTGCGAGTGTTGGTCTCAGGATACTTGGTAGTCTGAACATGTTGCTTGTGTATAATTAGTCTTCCTGTAAACATATCATACATTAGTGCATGCAATTACAAAAGTGACAATAGCTAGCCTATATTGGAAGTTAAAGTAACTATTGCGAGAGTTTTCCAGTGTTTTCACCACTTTCATGACACCTACCTTTATACTTGAGTAACAGCAATTGTCTAGAGTAACAATAAAATGTCTTAGAAAATTCGTATTCACCAAAAAAGTGCCAGTTTCGAACTACACTAGTTTTTGTAAACAATTGTTTCCTGTCATCTTGCCTGAAGTAACTAGCCGGAAGTATGGATTAGCTTGTGACGCCACCGCTCATCTGCCGTAGACATAGTACAGGACCTCTCAAATCATGCACTTGTTTTCAATTCATCACCGATACAAATACAAGTTTACTAATTCTGCCAGGAGGTATTATCGGCATACGATAAAATTGATTGCTGTTACGATGTGGTCATGCAAATCCATTTTTCTATGCTATAACTGCATAAAATCTTAGTATTTTTAATGTTGGTTGTTGGTGTAATCAGTGATATTTCCGCTGTCAGGTGAAACTACATTCAGCTATATTTAGTTTTTCTGAGCAAAAATCTCCCAATAGTTAGTTTAAAGCACTATATTATGTCACTCCTGATCTGTTCATGTGGGATCAGATGACAAGGAACGACAGTTACAGCATAAATCACTTCTAAATAAATCACTCAGGGTATTACTTTACTCTTTAGCCCGTTACTTTAGGCTTTACAGCAAAGGATAGACGATGGGCCACAAGCAACAGGGAGAAGTTTAGCAATAGCAGCTGAGAACACGTCACACCCTATATACGAGATAACGTACACCCGCGTGTTATTTTCGTGTAGGTCTAGACATTGAAGCTTTCGATCAACGCTACTGCAACTGCACATAACAATGGTAGCTACCTGAAGTGAAGGGCATTATAAAGGCCTAG